TTTCATTTTGACATGCTGGATGTGCAAGTTTAATTTTTATAATTTATTTCTTTACAAAATTTTAAATATTGTACTTGGTTCACCTATTTTTATAATCTCATAAACATTGTCGAGGGAGTGGGGGAAGAAAAAAAAATAGTTAGCTAAGACATACTCTAGACACCAAAAATTTAAAATTTAAGTTTCAGTGTCCCTATATTTTTTGCTTCTCAATATGTAATTCATACTGACTGTTTATATTTTTGCCCCATCCCATATCTCTCAGTTATGTGTGATGTGTGATACACGCTTAGGCGATCATGTTTCTTTTGATACATATGTGTGACGAGGCAGATATTTTCCACCCCCCCGCAGTATGTTGCCATTTCTTTCTGTGGTAGACCAGTTGCCATCCAAGGCTATAGAACCCAGCCTGTCCTGCTATTTACCAATAGCTGGTGGGAGAAGATTCATATCTTTCCCAAGTGTATTAGCATATAAGTGGGAAAGGTGCGTGTGTGTGTATATATATATATAATACACATTATCAATAAGAACATTTTAATCTGAAGTCCTTTTGAAAAACTTCACACATTACATAAAATTTTGTCTTTCAAATACTAAATAAACCATTTGTTTAGAATACAGATAAAGTTTTCCTAACAATTCAAAAAGTTCATGTACTTATCAAATACCTAGGTAAAGTCATCCTGTCCATTCCAATCATCAATGGAACATTCCTTGTTCCAGCATCTTTCACTAAATTATTCTTCTCCCTCCATTTTTAATTTGATTCTGCTCAGAACACCACATTAGAATCCAAATTAGTTAAGTGAAATGGCTGATTGCTTGCATTAATTTGTGCTTTATTTCTTTGGTAATGCTATGAAAATTAACATTAGACCTGCCAGTATTTCACCACTATTGTGTATTTTATTTTTCTCTCCAGCAATCTTATTTTAAAACTATCAGAATCTCTATGTCAATTGTATCTGGTCCCGTTACTTTGTTTCATTTCATCTTTATCATTACTGGTCTTCCTTCAAATTTTAGCTTCTTGCATGCTTTTATATATTCTAGGTTTCTCTGCTATCATAAGAGTTCTGTGTTGATATTCTACTATTGCTTTGTCTATGTGAATCATTCTTTTTGATTTTGAAGACCCTGGCAAAGAGTATGCTTTTGTTTTGTCCAATTTCCTTTGATCCTTTTGTGCATACCTTTGCCTCTTTTTAATTTGATATTTTTCCTATCTGCACATATCCTATTTAGCCATTTCTCCATAACCTGCTTGCACTCATCCTTAATGAGTGTTCAGCATTATATACTTTGTGGCATTTCTTGGCATTATCTGTTGTATCCTTCATTATGCTGACAATTTTACTTTTTTTTTTTTTTTTATTCTCTTCTCTTTCTTTCATTCATTAGAATTTTCTTTTGGCTGTTGTCATTTGCTTCATTTAAGGTGCTCCAATTTGATTTTATGACATTCCAAAACACTTCTGCAACTGTAGTTGCTGTAGTGTTTTTTTGTCATTGCAGTTTAGGTTTTAACTTAATTTTTGCAATCTTACCTTTAGTTTGCCTATAACTGGGAGGTCACTTTAGTCAGCATTTGTATGGACATGCTTCAGAATGCAAAACTCCTTTTTTTTCTTTTAAATTCATTAGTTGATGGTATCTCCTGTGCTTTACTAAGTCCACAAATGTCTTGGTTTTTCTTTGAACCAAGTGTTGATTATTACTTGGCCATTTATTATGTATCTTTGAGCACATTTTGTAACCCTAGACCATGTTTACTAACCACTTCATTATGTGTTCCCTTCCTATTTTTGTATTTAGGTTCTCCATAAGTATTTCTTGTGATTTGCTCTGAAATTTGGCATTTTCTGACATGGATACATATGCTACAATGATAACTATACTGAATAGCTTATCGTTAGTTTCACTGCAAGTACCTCAAAAATTACACCTTCTTGTCTTTGCCTAATATTAATTTCTCCCATAAAAACATTTTAATAAAGATTCATCACAAGGAAACTAAGCAATAGCTCAATGTCTAAGATTAGTTCTATTCAATTATATCTGATAAGATTATTCAATTATTCTAGTGGGGGTGGTCATTTAGATTGATAATTTTGGTTATTCTGCAACTGATATTCTTCCTTTTGAGATTCATAATATTTTTGGATGGTTTACATTTTTCTTTTAATTTTGAAATTATAGGTTGAAGCAAAAAATAAAATGAAAGAAATCAAGAAATGACATGATAATGCTTGTAAAATCATCATGCATTAGAATAAAGCTCAATTGTCACTAGAGATTGTGAAGTTTATGGCTTCATTTTCACTTGTGAGTGATGTTCTTTAGCTGGATTTATTTGACAGATCACAATAGAAAATCATTGTTATAATATACACAGGATATATGTATTATACACAGAAATTGATTAGACAAATGTGTAAAATGGGTTTAAAAAATATTTGATGAATAAAGCAGTTGACAAGTTAGAAGTTATCCCAATGAGTAAATCAGGAGTTAACAATTATAAATTTTTAACCCATACTGACATATTTTCAGATGAAGTTATGTGAAATTGGAGTTTTACAAGTTAGTGTATTTACAAATATTATTTAAAAGATTTGAAAATAGGAGTTTGGGATTGCAACACTATTTTATAATTAAATGAAATACTGCTTCAATGTTACCTCAAGAGATTAAATTGAAACAAATTCAAATTAATTTTTATATACATTATATATATGTATACACATATAGCCTAAATAGAATTCTATAAAATACTTGTCTACTGTAATCTTATGAAGAAAACTTGTGCATACACACACATATCTCCAGGTATATGATAACAAATGGAGTATAGTTCCACTGTCTGTAGCATTTAATTTAAGAAAGGCTCAATACAGAGTAGAGCTTAGTATTGTTTATTATATGGATTAAAATTGCTACACAATAGTTTCCATGTTTCAGCACTAAAAGTTGTGCCTCCACAGGCAATGGTAAATAACTGGTGATTTACCATTTGCCTGTGAGGCACAACTTTAGTGCTGAAACAAGAAAGCTATTGTGTAGCGATTTTTAACGTTTTTGTTTTAATCTCAGAATATATTTCTTTTAAAGTTTTAAAGCTTGGTGTTTAAGTTATTTTTCAATTTTAGGACTTAAATCCCAGAAAAGTTCAAAATTAAAGCAGAAGTTAACTGTTTTGCTAAGTTCTATCAGATCGAATGGAATCAAGAATTTTAACATTCAACAAGAATCTTGTTATTCTTGTTGGATGTTAATAAATTCTTGATTCCACAAGATGTACTACTAAAAAAATACTGGCGTCCTGTAAAGGTTACCCACCCCCCAGGTACCGATGTAGAAATATTGGTATCTATTTCAGATTATGTGTTAGAACTTATTTTTTATATGAATTATTTCCTACCCAACGAGTTTGTTGATTATTGTTTCAACCAGTTTTTATAGGCTGCTTCGGTTTTTATTTTTATTTTATTTGACTACCTAACAAGTTGTTACAAAATAAGCAGCTGATGATTCAAGGACGCCGGCTTGCTACGACCCCCCCCCCAGCCACTTTTTTAACGGCATTTTAAATGGAAGTACAGAAATTCATTTTTTTTTTTTCAAGTAATACAATTGGATTTTTATCAAAACAAAGAACGGTTCCCTGTGCCAGCCTCTAAGATTTGAGTGTGGGCAGACACAAATCAATTCATAATCACGCCATCGAATTTATTTTACGACCCTCAACATACACCATAAAAATGTCAATGCCATGATAACACTGTGTCATAGAATGTGATTCGACACAAGTTAATAATTCGCATTTTCGAGTGTAAGTGATTGAGTAAATTATAAAAAAAATGGTAACAAAACAACTTAAAGTACAATTATAATTTTGCAGAAAATGCAAAACATAGGTACAGACATATTGAACAAATTTTATTAACATCGTAATTCGTAAAAAAAAAAAAACAAACAAAAAAAAAAAACCGTTATCACAAGGTACGTTCTTTCTGTAATATTTTAGACAAAAATTCGGTTTCTAAAATTTATTTTATATATATTTAAGCTTTTTTCGTAGATTGTTAATTTCTTTTTTTTTAGAATATAAATTTATTCGCCAACATGAACTACAAAATAGCGTAGATATCGCCACTACGTGTTATGTTTTTTTTCAACAGGTATTTATTTTTCTGAAAGAATTTGCCTACTGGTTACATTTTCAAAGCAATAATTCGGTAAGAATTGTTTTTCAAGAAATTGAGAGAAAATAGCAATTCTGTTTTGTTGAATTAAAAATGCCAACATAACGGTCCCGAAAGAAGATATTTCTAAAACGAAAGAGTATTTGATTAATTTATAATTTATTAGCAACTCTAGATTACAACTTAATAATACTTTTTTGTTCTAAAGATTTTTGTGAAATCAAACTTTTTTTTTTTTTTTTTTTTTTTAAATCTATCGAGATTTTTTTTTCGCCAAATCTGATTAAGAAAACATAAGCGGAGGCATTTTTCTTATTTATAATAATAAAAGTCGGTAACAGGTAAGAAGAGGATTATAAGCAGATTATTCAACAACAAGTGAAATTACAATAGAGTGGTTGGCAATATGCAGGACAGATTTTTATCACAAACAAAAATAATAAAATCATAAAATTTTTTGTTCCAGTCGCGTAAATAAGGTCTAATCAGGGAAAAAAAAAGAAAGCAAACAAAAAATGTGATCGGCGTTGTTTATTTTGTACAGCCTGGGAGTTTAGAGCGAGTGAAAAAGAAGGAAAAAAAGAGAGAGAGATAGAAATGGTAATCATCAAATACGAAAGGAAAAGAGAGACACCGATGTAAACAACGAATTTGATGAGGATAAAATGCTACGCATAAATGTCTACTTACAATAAAAAGCTCATTGTTCACTCGGAATGAAACATACAGATTGAAAATTCAGAATATCCCTAATCGGCCAAGATTTGATGTTATAAACCCAAATAGCAGATGATCACGATAACAATCGATGACAAAGGACATTCCACGGGAAGTAAATTTTAAAAAATAATAATATGGCTACGTCCTGAAGCCGGAAGTGATACGATTTTTAGTTTTTATTAAGAAATGTTTATTTTTATGTTTTAATAATACATAGTACTATTTTTTAGAGAAAAATTAATATAAATCAATATTTCTTAAAATTTTACACAGAAATTAAAAACGCTAATCCCACAACTCCCATGAGCGTTCCATTTAAAACGAGAACGCCGTTCTCTCCGCCATCTTGAAAAAGCCGAGCTGAGGTAGGTGGTAGTGTCATATCTGTTGTCCCTCTAATTTGGGCTTGAGCTAGGTTTTTCTTTTGTTTCTTTTTTTATTTTTTCCTACTTAAAATATATGCAATAGTATTAAGTTCTTTATTCACACTTAGGGAGAACACAAGTTTGTCCGTGTCTGCATTTTTTAGTTATACATCAAATAGGGAGCACGTGCCATCTTTGTCTCTACTTGTCGCCGGGCAATTTCTCTTCCTCTTTGAAACAAAGGTTTGCTTTTATCGTTATTTTTTTCTTTTTTTTGCTTTCAGAAGCAAGATTTTGCGGCCTTAAAATTCAATTCTTTTCCTGAATTTTAACTTGAATTATTTCTTAGGTTTATCCATTATATTTTGCTTCTAATTTTTAGATTTTTCGTTATAGTCTTAACAACGAAATATCTTGTCTCTCCTTCTCTGCCTTAGCGTTCCCTCCATATTGGGAGCAAGGTTTTTTTTTTTTTTTTTTTTTACCTTCTCTTTTAAGTCCTTTTTAGTTAAATATTTATTATTTATTTTTTATTTTTTGCTTAAGCTCGATACCTTGTTTTTCTAATTGCTTTTAAAATTAAAAGATTATTTTTCTCTAAAAAAATGTTGAACTGCTCTTGTATCGTTTTCAAAGGCGAGAAGACTAACAAAGGATTGCCTTTTTTTTTCTTTTCGTCTTTATCTTTTTTTTTTTTTTAACCTCTCTTGATGTAGGAAATTCTTGATAGAAATTAAACTCGTCCTAAGTGACTTCGGTTTGATAATTTAGTTTCCTTTATTTTCGCTTTTAGCAGATTTTTTTTTTACAAATTGTATGCATGGGAAATTACTCCCGATTTTGACTCGTAATCTTTATACCAGCTTTGCGACTGCTGGTGTCCTTTTCGTACTTAAAATCGCTAGAAGCATCAGTCGGTGGTAGATTTCAATTTGGCGGGAATATTTTTTTTTTTTTTCTCTTAATGACTTAGATTTTTTTCTTTAAACTTATTTTGAAGATTGTTTTTTGTTAAAAGCACTTAAACTACATACTGGCTGGTTGATTAAATTTTTATTTTTCTTAGTATGGCTAAAAAAATTGAGATTTTAGATAAATTTTCTACGTTGTCTAAAGTTTTTTTGGTTTATAAAATTCCAAATTATTTTACAGATCCTTCACTGCTGTCAACATGCAACAGCAATCACAAAACCAACAAAATGATGACGATGGCAATGTGGTAAGACTAAGGGGATTGCCTTGGGCAGCCACAGCTGCTGATGTGCTAAAGTTTTTTGAAGGTACAGAGCTTTTTTTTTTTATTCTTTTTTTTTTTAAATATTAATACCTTGTGTTTTATCGAAACTAAACTTAGCGTAAAATATTTGTTTCTGATTGTTTTTGAGTCGACATTTTACTGTCTTTTGTGAAGGTTGTCGTGTCTATGGTGATGACCTGGGGGTTCATTTCACCTATTCACGCGAAGGAAGACCGAGCGGTGAGGCCTTTGTTGAATTTGTCAATCATGAAGACAAAGAACTTGCCCTCAAGAAGAACAATGCTCACATGGGACAGAGATATATTGAAGGTAACTTTATTTTTATTAGTGTTTAACGACTATAAAATTTTTCTTTTTCAGTCTTGTACTTTGTCTAATTGTTGTACATATATTAGTTTTCAGATCTAAGAAAAGCGAAATGGATTGGGTGATCAAGCGAGCTGGGTCAAGCCAAGTGACTGGGCAAAGTGATGCAGTGGTAAGAATGAGAGGATTGCCATTTGGATGTTCGAAAGAAGAAATTGCTCAGTTTTTCACAGGTAAGTTGACCTGCTGCATCAAAAATAGAAAATAGCCTTACCTAGCAATTAACGCTATATAAAGTTTTCAATATATATATATTATGATAGTTGTAGAATTAGAAAAATGCAGCAGTTAAGTGTTGATTAGATTTAGAAATTGATAAAATAGGATTGTTGGTAAAACTGAAGTCCTTGTCTAGAAAACAATGGGCTTTAATAACTCGACCCCAGAACCAATTCTCTTAATGTTGCTGCTTTTGTTATAAATTTGAATGTTTTAGTAAATCATAGTACAAGCATTTTCCTGTTTTATTTTTAATAGCATTTTGGAAACTGATTAGATGCAGTATGGTGTTTTAAATTTTGTATTGTTGAATGTTAAAGTCTGTTCATATTAATCATTTCTTACCTTTTTTTCCAGGAATTAATGTAAGTTTTTATTGGTTGTTATTAAACTTTTCAATTTCCTGTAGTTTCCCAATTTTGTAAATTGTTAAATCTATTCTGCATTAAAATAGATTTGCTGAAAAGACTATTTTCTTAAATTCAAAAGTAAACCATAGTTTTAAGTTTTGAAATTGTTAAATGGTTTCAAAGTTTAGCAAAAACATTGGAACCTGAAGTTGATGTAGATTTACAATATGGGAAACCCAGTGGGTCCTTGATGTTTGTTCTTTTGAAGGTCATGACACTGATGTATTAGAGCTGACAAATTATGTTCATGCCTAATTTGGCTACAACTTTTCACAGCAGTATTCATTCTTAAAATTTTCATTTTTGTCTTCTTTCATTCTAATCTTTTTATCCTTTTTGATTAATGAACTTTGATAATGGATCACTCTTGGCCACTTAATTTGAATCTGCTGTGAAAACCATGGACATTTGAATTAAATTTTAGCATTGAAATTTTATCAGACTAATGCTTAGTTATGTTTCAGGCTTTTTCTTACAAATGATTTAAATTTTGTAATGAATAGGTGTTGTAATCAATTTATGTAAACAATGTTTTTTTTTTTTTTTTTTTTTTTTTTTTCTTCTGTGATTTTACAGTTTAGCATTTTATTTTTGAAATTATCCTTTTTGAAACTGAATATTATAACTGGATATTTACAGTTTTCAATGTTTCTTTTTCTTTTTTTTTTTTTTTTTTTTTTTTTTTTTTAAATTTTTTGTTTTTGTTGATTGTTTTTAGTTATAAACCCATGACCCTGTATTGTATTAGTCATAAAAAACAACTGAATGTTTTTTTTCTTTTCTTTTTCCTTTTGTGCCTAACCTTCATCTCCATAATTTCCCTCTTCTCCATAAATGTTTCCTTGTTAATGAAAACTCCATTTTAACATTTGCCCACTTGTTAGAGGTAAAAGTGAAATGCACATTTTCTCAGTTAAATTTTAGAGATGAAGGTTTTTGTGTATATTTAAGAAAGTAAGCATTTACTTGCTCTGGGCATAAATAAATTGACCCCCTCCTCTTTCCCCAAATAATAGCAGGCCACAATTTGTATCTCTTCACTGAAAATGTTCTTTGTATAATTAATACTTTGATTTTTTTCGTATGCACTTTGATATTTTTCTCTTAATTTACTATTGGTTTTTACTATATTTTTTGCATGATAAGTTTCACTTGTTGCTTCATTATGTGTCTTTCTGATTGGGTCGGGTGTGTAGGGCTGGAGATTGTCCCCAATGGGATTATGCTACCTGAGGACCGACAGGGGCGCAGCACGGGGGAGGCCTATGTACAGTATGCATCGCCAGAAATAGCAAAAAAGGCATTGGAAAAACACATGGCAAGACTGGGGCACAGGTGGGAGGACGGATGGGCCTGTTGGGGCTTATCTCTTGTTGGTTTGTGTGCTGAGCTTGAGTGGTTGTAAAAAGCTATTTTTTCTTTTTTTCTTAACCAAATGGGCTAATTTACACACTGGAATAATGCTTTTTGAAATGGTTGCACAAACCTATTAATCCAGCTTTTTAGCCTTCTTGAAAATCCATATAACTTTATTAATATCTAGAATAGATTTGAAAGACTTAATCCCTGTGAACTGTGCTTTTTTAAGTAGAATAGCTGTTAAGTGTTAATTGTAACTGAAAGCATTCTTCCTTGTGTAAACTTTTTAAAATTTTTCCTTAATTTTGTTTTCATTTTTAATGTCAGGTTTATAATGTTTAAACTCGTAGCACAGGGGTTAGGTCGGGCTTAATAGATATTTGCTAATTAAATTTTTTTTTTTAATGTAAACATTTTTTGCTGTCTTCAAAGCTCATTCAGCCTTCTATGTTCATGTTGAAATTGGCCACAAGGCCTATGTTGAAAAGTTGTACAAGCTTTTGTTCATGCTGGATATTCATATTAATAAGTGTCTCATGAAATGCTTAATTTTTCAAAAAGGCATAAATTTATGCAGAATGTAGTTGTATTTCCAACAATTTATAGTTGACAACTGATTTCATTTACATTAGTTTTTGAAATGCACATGAACATTTTTAGTGCACTTAAAATCTTTTGAGCTTGGTGACATGATTTTAAATTCAGTCCATTTTAAGCAGATGATTAAATTTTTCAGATAATATAGAAAGCTACCTGTATTCAGGTTTTTAGGAATACTGAGTTGAGGCAAGATTTTCTAGGATGATTGTAATTTTTTTTTTTTCTTCAGTTGAGACAAAGTAGATTTGTGTGATTTGATCAAGCCTGAATCTAACTTTACAAAGTCTAAGTGTGGGTGGGTGGTAGCTGATTCCTCATGGAAATCAGGATATAGCTGCAAGCAACTCTTTCCAATTGTTCTACTGGAATTTTATTTTGAAATGATTTTCATGCTTGATCATTCACACTTGTATTTAGATTTTGGCTGAATGAGCTAGACATTTTAGTTAGTTAAATAATTTAAAGAATTCAATGTTTAAGTGTATGTGTGGCGTGTGAATGTGTTTTTTCAGTTTCTTTTTTATTTTCCCATTATCTTCTACATAGGATACTGAAAGCTTTGTTAGCATCTGAAATCATATAACTTAGTTCTTTTGAATAATTTAACCTTCAGTATCCTGTGTATGTAGAGGGATTTTTAAGTTTATTTTTTTTTGGTTGTCAGTTTTCTTGAATCTAAAGTATTCTTTTTTTTGCATAGATACATAGAGATCTTTCCTAGTACATTGCAAGAAGCCTATGCAAATGTTGGCCCTCCAAGGCAACGTAACATGGGTTTTATGGGCAGTAACCGACCTGGTCCCTATGATAGGAATGATCGTTTCAGCGGTGGCATGAATGCCATGGGCGGTGGTTTTGCTGGTGGTGGCTATGGCAGAGGCAGAGGTGGACGGAATGTAAAAGGTTTGTGTTTTTTCTATTAATTTCTATTGTTCTATGAAGTACAATAGAAACTAGTTCTGAATGTTAATTGTATTGAAAGAGATTGCAGTGGAAGTAACATGTATATGCAAGATTTAAAAAAATGTAATTTGACTGATCCCGCAGTGGTAAATTTCTAGAATAGGGAAGTAATGACTTGCAAGTATGATCCATATCAGTGTTGAAATTAGCTGAAAAGCTGGGGACAGTGGCTTATTTGTCACTGAAGCATTGGACAGCATTTCACTTGTCAGATATGGAGAGAGGAACTTGTCTCTAGTCCAATTAATAATGTGAAGTATCAAAAATCAGGTGAATCAGTTCACTTTGCACTATGAACATATTAAGTGCATTGTATGGTGAAAACTATTGCAGAGTTATTAAAAACTTAAGAGCTCTGCAACTGGGGTGGGGGAAGCAATTAACATAAGACTATTGAATTACTGAAAACTTAGTTCAAATATTAACATTTTCAATGTGGCATAACCAAATCTTCAATGTTGACAAAGGGGAAGTGTATATATAAAACTTCTGACCTATATTTGTAAGTTAAATTGTAACACTGAATACTTCAATATACTCAAGACCTAACTTACAGGTAAGGTGAGTTAGATTACATGAAATAACATCAAAGTGTGCACAGGTTTAAAAATAGGAATGTGTATCAATAGTACTCGCATTCTATTAATTTTATATCCTCTTCGGGTATAAATACAGACCTGTGTAAATATACAAGTGGCATCCTGTGATAGACAATTCTATGCCTCTTACATCTGTTGTAGGTGGGTGAATGGGACAAGTCACATGTACAACGGGGCACAGGCATGGCACTTAAGTCAATGGCTGGGCAAGTTGCTGTATATCTTGCAGAGCATGTCTAGTAGTATGGATATTATTGCTAGAATCACAGAAGAATGTGTATGTCAATTTTGGCAAATGTCTATCTAGATATTCCAAACATGGTCTCTGGCAAGAGATGTTTCTCTTGAACACTTGCCAACATTGGATCACCATAGATGCATACATATGCAAAACAATTTTCCAAAAATGACCATTTATACTCATGGATCCTTCTTGGCTCTAATAGAACAAAAGAAGTCTGTGCACATTATCATGGCATGAACCTGCTTGCATTGAATTTGACCAAAATTGATTGCCATGTGCATCACCATTTAAAAATTGGGCTGAGATAGCACATTGATAGGAGCGGTTTTTTTTTTTACATAAGATTGACAGGCTTGAAATATTTACCATTCTTTGGGATGTTGCAATTTTATTTCCCATCTGTAATTTTCTGACATTGTCTTAATATTTTTAATAAGCTTGTTGCCTACCAGTGAATCTCTAGTAGTGGGCTGTGTACTTTTCATATTAGGTACATTTAGTTGAACTATACTTTTGCTTTGTTATACTAAAATGCTTGCTTTCTTTTCATTCAGGATTCTTTGAAGATGATTATGATGAATATGGCGGTGGCTATGGTAGTGGAATGGGCTTTGGTAGCATCAACCGAAGGGGAAATATTCGGCCACAGAATAGAGGCAGGTTGCAGAGTGGTTCTCTGGCTAGACCTCGAGGTGCTACCCCAGGTAGCCACTACATTAGCAAATCAGGTCATTCCGTGCACATGAGAGGACTTCCATTCCAGGCAATAGAACAAGACATCAGAGACGTAAGTAGCAACTTGACCTCCAACGTTTTACTTTGTTCACTGGAGTTTTTGGCTGAATATTGAGTTCATGATTTAAGGTGGTCTTTCAATTTTTATTTTTCTATAAAAAGCCAACTTTGTTGCAGAAGTAAGGCTTCTGGATATGATTAAATTTTGATTTCTATGGATGGTTGAAAGTGAATTTTATTTTTAATTTTTTTTATTTTTCTTATTAGTTTTTCAGGCCACTTGAACCAATTAGAATAGAATTTGAATATAGAAACAACAGACCTACAGGTGAAGCTGATGTTGACTTTGCTACACACCAGGATGCTGTATCTGCAATGGAACGACATAAAAACTATATACGTGAGTATTTTTTATCATTCTCAATTTGAATGATTTTTTTTTTTTTTTGTTTACTTGTATATTAACAAAATAATGAACTTCATTTCAGAGGACCGCTACATAGAATTATTTTTGAACTCCACACCTGATGGTCGTGGTGGCAATGGAGTTGGTGGTGGATATGGAGGCGATGGTCCAATGGGAGGTGCCAGATTTGGTGGAGGAGTTGGAGGTGGAATGGGAGGTGGCGGAGGCATGGGAGGTGGAATGAATAATTATGGTGGCAGTAAGTATTAAGGGTTTTGTGTCTTCCTCTTAACAGAATTGAGGATTGAGCTTTTCAATTTTCCAAAAGCATGTAAGGAGAAATTTTCAGTTGAAAGTTTGATTTCATTTTCATTGTTACCTGTGTAGAAACTGAATTTTTTCACTTCTGTTTAAAAACATTGCTGGAGAAGTTTATATTTCAAAGTGGATTGGGAAAAATTTAAACTTGGCAAATGTTATTAAGCTTAATGTTATGGAAAATGTCTTTCTCAGACCAGAACTTAAATTGATATCTTGTAATTTTTCTGTTGTAGCTTGTTTAATTTGTGAGCATTTTGCCGAAATAACATGACTGCTTGATTTCTTTCAGATTTCCTCTCTGACTTCAACAGTGGCATGGGAGGAGGAGGCATGGGCGGCGGCATGGGAGGAGGAGGCATGGGCGGCGGCATGGGAGGAGGAGGCATGGGCGGGGGGATGAACAACTACGGCGGTGGTGAGTTCTGGGCCTGATAACTTGGCCCTCCTGCTTTCACAGCTTACCAACCAACCTACCTACCTACCTACCTACCTACCTGAATATTGGCCAGAGACCTCAAACATGTCAAGGTTTCCTGGATTAGATTCTATTTTACCAAACATAACAAAGCTACATTTTGAATGTGGCCACATTTTTTAAATACAGCCAAATTTTTAAAAACTTTTCCATGGTCACTTATCATTTCATCAGAATTATGGTTAATAAGCATTTATGCTCATTCACGAAAGACAAAGTCCCAAACAAAAAAAAAACAAAAAAAAATGTAGCTCACAAAATCAATGTTTCCATGAGATTGACCAGTGCATTCTGTATTTTCAGGTGGAATGAACAACTACATGTCTCCGCCCAGTGGGGGTGGCTTTGGCGGTATGGGAGGTGGTGGTATGGGCATGGGTGGTGGCATGTCCAACAATGTCATGGGAAATCCAAACTACACACCTTTCTAAGCATACTCCAAACCACTGATGCTGCTTTGATATACAACTCACACCTCAAGTACCATCACCGCTACATTTTGGATAAAGAACTTCTTTGGCTGACTACACCTCCTTTTGTCATAATTTTAGTTCCTTCTCAATGTATTCTCTCTGTATGTATAAAGGCTTTTAATATGGAATTCACTTTGTTTTGTTTTTGACATTTTTTTTTTTTTTTCCTTAAATTACTCAAAATTAACAACTATGGATTTCCTCTAATTTTTCTTCCACTTGATCTGCAGATTTTTCATCATCTGCCATTAAGTTTCAATTTATTCATTTACTTTTTGCATGACTCAATCCAAACTGCTCCTTTTCCCTGCTGAATTCTTCTCTCAAAAGGTGTGTAAAGGAAGCAATCACCAAGACTTTGCTTGTAAACCAAATTTTCTAGAAATAAACAGGTGTCATTGATGCACCAGTTTTTCACAAGTGGCTTGGCACCTTAATCACTTTTTTCTTTGTATATATCTTGGAAGGCCTGCTCTTCAGCAGTTATGCTGTTTTGCTTGTATTTCGTTCCTTCTCTTCACAGCATGAAGCACCATTTACAGTTATTTTATCCATTGACAACCTCCTATCCTTTTTGTTTCAGATAAATTTTCAATGCAATTGTAGAGAAGTCTGGTAACTGTATGTGATGTCATTAGGAACTTCAATCACTTACGTTAATCCCTAAATGCCAATCAACATTTTTTTTATCAGATTTCAACTCTTGTGACGTTATTTGAGCAAATTAGTGCCCGGCCTTAAAGACAATGTCTTTAAGTTTCGTTTCAGTAAGTTATCTAAAAAGTTCAGATTTTCTGCTAAAGAATCTGGTAAGTTAACATTCATAGCTATTTGGCTACTTCAAAAACGTTAATGAAACTGAATTTAGGGGTTTTTTTTTAAAAAAAAATGTAAATGCTAAACATGTTGCTTTTTTCAAGTGCAACATGACATGGATATCAAGATGTATAATGTGGGAATTAATATAACTGATAAATTATATTTTTAATATTTCTTTTAATCTTGAATGCTTTTTCAATTAAAGCATAATTAAAGAAACACTGTTAATTGCATTTGACTTTCTTACCAAACACACGCTTTGAATCCTTTAACTTTACTCTCCCACCATTTAAATGTGCCCGACTTTCCAATATTTAACCTGAAACCTTTTTAAAGGTTTACAAGATATAGTGAATAAATTTAATCTCTGTATGATTGATTGCAATTATGTAAATTACTTCAACTACTCTTGTTTATTTTCAGCCTAATAGGAAATCTGATTCCCCCCCCTCCCTATTTTAATGGTCAGAAATAACTGCTTAGTTGACTTAGATTTTATGAATGACTGACTAGTGTTGATTTAGGGCTACAGCTTGAGCTAATTTCTCAACTCTAACTACATGCAATATTTTGGAGACCAAACATTTCAGTATTCCCTTAGCATAAGAAGGACAATACAGTTAAGCTGTTAAAAAAATCCTTTATTCAACAATAACAAAAAGGTACATATGAAGTTTTAATGGGATTATTCTGATCTTAAATGCTTAAGGATACCAACAAGACTGAAAATTGTTAAGTTTTTAGTCAAACCTTTAATATGTAAGATACTTCCACAAAGTTATTCGGTGGGAGCCAAAAGTTAGTTTAAAATAAGGTTAAATTTTAGTTCCATGACAAGGATATCAGTCAAAAAACTGACTGACTGTCTGGTTCATGGCACACTTCATAGCAGCATTCATCAATTTAACAAATCCTGTATCTTTGGGCTTTTCAAGGCCTCGCATCACTCGCTGTTTCATGACATGCACAAACTCTTTATTACTCAGCTGACCATCATCTGTAAGAAAAATTAAAGCTTAACATTAGAACCTAAGACAACATTTCAGAAGTTTTTCTGTCTTATTTTTTAATTTAAGAGGATTAAAAGAAAGTTTACTTACTGTTCTCATCAAATATGGTGAAGACTAAATCCATCAAATGATCACTTAGATGCACATTAGCTACTGTTTTAGCTACATGTCTCAAAGTCTCTGAAATTGAAAATATTTATCAGCTTAGAAATTCTATACCCCTTATCCTTTGAAAAACTTTAAGAGCATGCAGTTACTGTCTGATAAAATGCTTTGATATCAATAGTTGGTAAGGGAATAGTTGAGATTAAAATGTTTTTGATTTGGTTGAAAAGAAATCCAATTCTTCAATGGTTTGAGAAATTTAAAATCAAATTTTCTCCTTAAAAACTGAAGTGAACTTTGGAATAGTCTACTTATTAACTTAAATGAATGGGTGGGTTGATAAATCAGTTCATACATGCTGATGTACAAAATATACTGATGTTTTTGCAGCATTTAACCAAATTTCATTTTCTGAAATGAACAAGCAACTCATTGCCAAGATGGATATAGTGAATCATTTTCCAAAACAAACAAAAAAATTGAAGCTCTCCAAAGCCCTACACTAACATCCTTAAGATCTGACTAAAGATTTTTTTTTTTTGTGATAATACACAGAATGAGGTTGTTATTAAAATATTGAGGCTTGCTGTTTGAAAGTCAAGCTTGTCAAGGCACCCTGTCTGTATCGGCAAAGAAAACCAGCTGCTAGCGTCAAGTCTTTAGTAATTTTTTTTTTTTTTTTAAGTTTGTTGAAAACGGCAATAACTATTACATTATTCAGACTGAATATGTCAATGAAGATGAGGATAACAATGTTTTGGCCGTAATTGGAATTTTGAACCAAACTATTTCATCCACCAGAACATCCAGTTTTTTTGATTGACATCCTTTTCATGCTATTATATTTGATTAGATAAAATTAATTTTCAGATGTATATGAAATAAATTTTTCAAGTTTGAATTACCAGAAAAATACCTGCTGTCTTGTTTTAGATGATACAAACATCAAAAAAGGATGAAATTTTTTTCAACAAGAGAAAATAACTAAAAACAAAGCTTCATTTATAGAACTACTTTTTTATGCCTTTTTCATCAGACTGTTATCCATTGAAATATAACCAAGGTTTGTTATAAAGCAGCAGCACTTAAAAGTTTATCCATGGTGAAAGTAAATTTTCATATTAAACATGATGAAAAATTCTTGAACTTGCCAAAAAGGGAATCTTAGAGAGAGATGGGGGGGGGATAATACTCTTACCTTTATCAATGGACACTCCAGCTATATGATAGAAACTGAGAGCTGTATCAACATCATTGATACATTTTAGAAACTTCCAAAAATCAATGTATTCCTCAAGAGTAATGCCCTAGGAATGAAGAAAAAAAAAAAAAATCTATAGACAAAATTATCTGTACAATACAAACAATTTCATTTAAAATGATTACCTTTTCAAATACCGAAACGTTTTTATATGACCTTAGCTATCAAAATATTAAATTCGGGACCAAACTTATTGCAGGCTGTTGATCCTGTTGTCTTATAGACAATTTTTCACCAGTGCATTTAAGAACATTATGTTGGAAAGTGAAATGTTATTTAGCAAAACAATCTTTCAGACTTTTTTTTTCATTGTTCTCATGATTTTAAACAAATGACTCATTCTATTTTTATAGTAGAGTTCATGGCTTTTTTCTATAAAATAACTACCTGATTCCAAATGAATAATTTTAGTTTCATCATTTCATAAAACTGAGTGCCAAAAAAAAAAAAATCACTTTTTCCATGTAAGCATATGCAAATTTTATTCAAGGTTTGCAATGATGGTTTTTGAGCAAAGGTGTTTTTTTTTTTTTTTTTTTTTTTTTGAAATTTTGGTAACTACAAAGAATATATTTACTGATTACCCTGCTTACTGTCTGACATCACAAACAATCCTTCAGCACAATTTTAGGATCTTTGCAATCAGAGATAGCTTGGGCTTACAGCTCCTTCCCTTCCAGGGAGTTGCAATTGTTTTTGTCTCACTATAGTTTTATTATATACTGTACATATTAAAAAAAAAAATTCATAAAAAGGCATAATTATGATTAAGCTTTGCTCTAGTAATGAGAAAATTAATATACATGGTTTGTTTAGAGAATAGTGTCCTATTAGAACATACAGATCAGATACATGGATTCAATAGTAAGCCTCTTTTTGTGTTATGAATTATTTTAATGTTTGCTTTTATTGCTCCGATATGCTTGACTTGGTACTTGGTTCAGAATTTAGTAATTTTAAATATACAAACAATACTTTGAAGTGAACTATGCATAGATACAGCCTCATCATAGCAAGACAAAGATAGTTAACTCCACAGATTTACTATATATATATATATATATATATATATAGTAAATCTCTTCAATGTCTTAAAACATACCATAATTAAAAGAATGACCTAAACTTAAAAGTTTTATCATCAAAATCAGTATTTCAATGACCAAACATTTATTTTGGCTAGAGGGTTGGGCAGTAAACATTACAGTATACTCTACCCCTGTATCTGATGACATTACTTGTAAGATAATTTCAGATTTCCCAAAAATTGCTCCTGATATATAAAAATTTATTTCATTTTTCCACATAGGTCCAAGAAAAAGGGAATTTGAATGACTTAAGATAAACCGAAATGAGCAGGTTTCCCCAGAGTTTTTGGTTCTTTTTTTTTTTTCTTCTATACTAAGTAAAATACTACTTTTAGTTTGAATGAAATGGAAATCAGCAATGATTTTGGAATTTTAAGGTGGTAGAATAGTTAAATACTGACACCTTAGAAATTTTATCAATGATTTGGTAGATTTTAGAAATGAAAGAACTAGTAGGAATAATGAAACTACTAATTTGGTGAATGGACATAATTATAGCAATGTCTTTTTTGTTGCCTTTGAATATGTGAATCATCAAGCAAATGAAGGTGCTTCCTGTTGGGCATGAACTAAAACAAATGGAAACAAACTAACCTGGGAGTTATTTTTAAAAGTTTTCTTCACCCTTTTCATCATTTTGACACGTTTTGCTTCAGTAAGACCTGCATAGGCTAATAAGATTGTTCCAAATTCCTTTTCACTGATGGTGGCATTTGGTCCTGGCTCGTTCACATAACGTTCAAACTGTTCAGTTAAAAACAAAAGTAAATATGACTAAAACAAGAGAAAAATATGCAAATTTGTTTACAGAGTCTTTTTTAAAAAAAATTTTTTTATTTACTAAATGTTTCCCCAATATAAGGCCCAAGAGCCACTGAATGAGGTTATATAGATGTAAGAGTAAGTCAGTATTGATTGACCTTAGACTTGAAGTTAAAATTATGATTGGAAAGCATCCTCTCGGGAGTCAGTTCCATCCAGTAGCAGTTCTTGAGAAGGAACTGTCTGAGTGGAACTTCCTTCTTGCCAATATAATACAAAGATAAGGCACGATGTGTCCTAGCTGTAAATATCTGATTTGATAGAATAAAGGAATGTTGTGTGAATATTTGTCATGGAAATGCCAATACGCTTGTAACATTTATTATGGGAAAGAGGCAGTAGGGTTGAAAACAAATCATTGCCCACAAAGCTATATAAACACTTCTGAACTCAAACCTCACTTGTGAAGTTTGGATGGCTCCCACCCAGATATAGTAGTGCTACTCCATTTTCTTGGTCTGATCTAACTTTTGTAAAGAGAGCGTGTCAAGGGGAGTCAGATACTTTATGGAACAGTACAAGGAACATTTTTCAGCATCTTAAGCAATGGATTGTATGTCTGAGTTCCACAAGGTCTGAAGTGAACAGGAATCCTAGTAGACATTCAAGGCAAGTAGCATTGAAAATATAAGCATTCATGACTGGAGAAAATCCTGAGTCTGCTTGGTGATGATGAAATGTTACCAGCTGTGTTTTGAAAGTTACATGCTAGTTTTTCCTTTATGGAGTTGTTAGAGCTAGATCAGAGGAGAGATCAGCTTTGGTCATTTAAATTTTTGGAGGTGCATATGTAAATTGTAGTATCATCTGCATATCTATTAACTGATGATCTGAGAATGTTCCTAGACAGAAAGAGGGTAGGGTTGAGGAGAGAGCCTTGGGGGGATGCTTGCATTGATCTTATGAACGATTTGATAATTATGAAGACTCTTCCAGAGATTCCATAGCTAGAGAGTTTGTGTCACAACCCCACATGGCAAAAGCCTTTGAGAGATCTAGGGTGATAGCTCTCCTGTTGAGTTTATTACTGAGTGCTTAGCTGGTTCTGAGTGTAATGACAGTTAAACAATCAGAAGAGAAGCAAAATCTAAACTGTTTGTTACTTAGGAGATTGCTAATTGTTTTGTTTTATGGCTTAAAGCCTAGACATTCTCACATTTCATATTTTTTTTTTTATTTTAAATAACCAATCATATGCTATTGACTATTTACTTATTTTTTTTTTTTCATCATATGGTAGTAATTACTTTAGTTGGTTTAGATATCAGTTTTTTTTGTTTTTGTTAGGTTTATATTTTTTGGTATAAACCCACTGTTTTGAGAAATTATATAATACCATCTATCCTTGCTCTTTCAAAGAGTTCCCTTATGTTGTTTATATTGAAGAAAGTTTTCCTAAATGGAGCAAGAGTTGTACATTCAGTAAATACATGCTTTATAGTGTATTCAGATTTGCAGGTTTGGCATGTTGGTTGTTCTTCCCCTTTCAGTAGATATGAATGTGTAATTCTTGTATGGCCAATATGCAAGCAGGCCGACACTACCTCTTCTTTTGGGGATTTTCTGTATCCTGGCTTCCATTCGCCAAGTATTGGCTTGATTTGTAGTAATTTATTTGGAGCACAGTTACTCCAATGTTGTTGCCATTTTTGTTTTATAAATCTGTTTATTTGTGCCTTCACAACTGTGTAAGGGATCTTAAAGTTCAGGTCAATTTCCATATTTTCAATATGTTTAGCAGCTGCATCAGCTTTGTTGTTTCCAATATTTCCAACATGACTTGGGATCCAACATATCACAACATCTATTAACACAGATATTAAATAGTTTATTTAGCAACTTTACTATTAATAGGTTAATTTTTTTGTTTTTTAGTGTTGTTAAAACCGATAGTGAATCAGAAAAGATTATAATTTTTTTGTTTTTATTTGTTGAAATAATGCTGAGTGCTAGATCTATGGCACATTGAAGATGGGGATTTCATCTGGGAGGTGCTTACTGCTTATTTTCTTCTGAAATATTGCTGCATATTTGGTTATATTTCCGTGTTTGGAACCATCTGTAAAAATAGGTATGTGACTGGGGTAGTTTTCTTTGATTTTATCATTCTTCCTGAAAGTTAAGAGGATGCATATTTTTTCTTTGGAATTTATTTTTGGAGATTGTATGGTTCAGGGAGCAATGTTATGAGTGATATTATTGCCAGTTGTATTTTAGATTCCTCAATAAGAAGTTCCATTTGAAGCCCGAATGTTTTTATAGTTTTTCCTTTTTGTTGATAGAGGTTTCTGTGTTGAAGGATGAAAATATTTTTGTAGGAAGGATTAGATGAACATGATTTTAGGTTTGTAAGATACTGTAGTGCCAGTTTTTCACATTTAAGATTAGGAATTTTCTCAGCTTCTGCACATAAACTTTCAACTGGGAAGGTTTTTAAATGCATCAGTCTTAAACCTCCATGGATGGTAGAATCAATGAGTTTTAAATAAGATTCTCTTGATGAACTCTATATGATGCTACCATAATCTAGTTCTGATCAAATTAGAGACCTGTAAAGTGTTTGTAATTTTTCTGGTCTGCTTCCCATTCAGTGTGAGCCAGCACACAAAGGAGTTGTATTGCTTTGTTACATTTCTTCTTAGGATATTTCAGATGAGAGGTATAAAAGTAAGCTTTTTATCAAATATAATTCCCAAGAACCTATATTGATCTACAACTGGTCAGTCTCTTCTAGTCTTAAGATCACTGTGTAGTTTTCTCTTCTGACAGAAATACATACATTTAGTTTCCACTTTAGAAAACCTGAAACCATTTTCAGTTGCCATTAGTTAATTTTATTAAGGCACTACTATAATTTTCTTTCTATAATGTGCATATGTATGGATTTGTAGAAAATGAAGTCATCTACATACAAAAGTCCTACTCCAGAGGTTAAATTTTTTTACTATATTATTTATTTTTATACTGAACAGTGTTACTGACAAAATACTGCTTTGGGGCACTCCCTCATCTAGGTGTTTTTTGAAAAAAATGCATCATTTATAGCCAATTCTAAGTGTATTAAGTGGTTCATTGTGCTTCCTTTCTTTCTGAAACCACACTGTAGGCCCGTAATTAGCTTATTTTCCTCCATGTACCAGATCAATCTGTCATTTATCATCCGTTCCATCGTTTTACATAGGCAGCTGGTCAGTGAAATAGGTGTGTAGTTATCTGGGTCAGAGTTGTCTTTTTCAGGTTTTGGGACTGGTATTATAGTAGTTTCTTTCCAAATATTGAGGAAACTGCTGTTTATCCATATTATTGTATATTTTTTAAAAGAAGTTCTAAGGAGTCTTAAAAACTTGTAGTGGACATCATCAGGTCCAACCATGGTATCTTTTAATATTTATTTTATCTTGTTTTAAAAAGGTTTCTTGAAGGCAACATCTGGACATAAATCTGTTAGCAGTGGTAAGTTTGTTAAAATTAGCTTTTAGCCTACGGCAATTTCACTGAAGAATTTTGTGTACCATGGTTGATTAAGAGTGTGTGTGTGTGTGTGTATATATGTATATATATATATATATATATATATATATATATATATATATGTGTGTGTGTGTTCTGTTTTTTACTGCTGGTTTTTATGTCCTTATTGAGTATTAAGTAACGTGTTCGACAGAAAGAAGCGTATTCAACAAAGAAAAAAAGTGAAAATTGCCTTTTTCACTGCAAATTATTCATTATATCATATCCAAATATTTTACAAAAAAATTTGAATTGATTACACAATATTTCAAGATTATTATTTTACTTAAGTGTAAGGTAGTCCTACATTTACAATTCCTTATGGCTAACCATGAAAGGGAATGTTGATCAAAACTGCATAAAACCTTTAAGTGTATATTGCTGTAAAATTATCAAATGCTGAATATGCATCAAACACGTCATATTTCCTTTCCATTGTAAGATGTTTTGTTAAGTTATGCCATCTTTTTTTATGCTGTGTTGAGGGTGAAGGATTCATCTCAATTTCCATTTGTTTAAATTTTTCAAATTTCTTTATTGTTGTTTGGCTATTTCCGATTGGTTTTTGTCTTTTTCTCTCATCTTTGATATAGTGCTATATTTTTCTTACTGATTTGTATTTCATTCTTTTCCTTTTCTTCAGTTATCGAGTTATAGTTTAATGTGATAGTGAGAGCTATTTCCATATTTGCCATACTGGTTTTTAAGGTTTTAATGAGGTCTTACAATTCATATATTAATGATGTTAATTGTGTTTCTGTTTTGTTTTTTTGTCAGGTTATTTCCTAGATTTTCATTTACATTTGGTAGTGTTTTGGTGATTTTTGCATAATTTTGAAAAGAAAAGGAGGTTTTGATAAGTTTTCTAGTTTCTGGGAATGTAATGTTTTGAGTTATTTTAGTTCTTATGTGTTTTTCCCAGGTCTTGCACTCTGTAGCATAAACTCTTATCTCCATTGCAGATGGTACAACATCTAAAAACCAAAATGTATCATTATGGTTTGGTTCTATTAACTAACATCTTGCATATGTCTGTTCTCTTGTACAATACTCCTTTATATGGCCATATTTTTCACATTTATGGCATTTTTGTTGGATTTTGAACATATTTTCTACTTTAGCTATTAAATATCCAATTTTAATTTTGGATGGTGGTTTTGGAATATTGAAAGATATATATATATATGTGTGTGTGTTAGTATAAATTATTTGATTTCGTTTTTTTTTTAACTCTGCTTTTATTTCTTCTAATGGTGATAGATCTACACTATGAGGTGTTAAATCTTTCATGTGGATGTGCTTTTATACAGATATTATGGAAGTTTTAGTCTTTAATAGTGTGCTTGCCTGTTTTTTTTTTTATCAGGATGGTTCCATTTTTTAAGTTTTTTTACTAATTTTGGATTAACCATTGAAGATATGACATTCTGTATCAGGAATGGCAATAATTTGGTTAGTGGGACTTCCTCTTTAGATTTAAGTATTATAAATCTAGGAAGTGGGTATCTCAGCCTGTTCATGATCAGAATCTGACTCCATGTGAAGTCTTTTAGTTTGGGTTTTTTTTTTGCTTACATATGAAATTATGATTCATTGATTGTACTCCCCATCCACCATGGATCTCTACTAGAGGAAATGTCAAGATCAGGGTTATACAATTAGTATACTCACACTATGAGGAGGTAATAATGGTTTAACCTCCTAAGTCTCAGTTCCCAAGTTAATTAATTGATCAGGCATAGTTCGGAACAACTGTCTCTTCTTAGTATGATTGACCCTACAGCCATCACCTACTGATTCAACTCTTCCAGAGTTTGTAAGAAGCTGAATCATGGCTTGGCGTGACCACCTCGTTATCAGATTGGGTTTCTCCAACTGCCAGTCTAGCCCAGGTAAAGGTCAGTGATCTGTTGGAATTCAGGAGTTAATCCATCCCTCCTCCTGAAGCCTTGGATCACCAGGATCCCATCCTCAGGCATCATGGGTAACCACCCACAGCCAATAGGTGGCCTCATTGGGAGAGAGGGGCAGTTAGTGTATTCTGAAACCTTCAGTCAACAGAGGTTGCTGAGGTAATCAACAACCTTCTTGATTGTAGGCTCAAGGAATTTGCTGATGACACTAATGAGGCTGATGGGGTAATATTGCAAAGTGGATATGAGATCACCCACATTCTTGAAAACAGGGCATACAGCTGACTCCTTGCATAAACTTGGGAAACATTTTTTTTTCTTCAGGCAACAGTTAAACAATTTTGAGCTATAAGCAAAAAAAAGAAAAAAAAAAAGAGGGTTAAGAAGAAATTGCTGTGAAACATGTATATTTTCCCTCTAAGTAAAAGGAATGTCCATATATCTATAATCTTAATCTTTGTACGTCTGAGAAAAAAATCTGTTAAAAAATAAAGGAATAAGCAGAAAAGGATAAGATTGTAAGTTATTCCAAATTCGCCTTACTTCAATTCGTAGAATTTCTGTTTGCAATTGAAGTTGGAAATCCAAGAAATTTTCTACTGTCAGTTTCTTGGATCCATCAGCACCAAAGAAGTAAGTGGACAGAGCAGAACTGACTCCTTTGTTAACATTTCCAGTGGTTGATCGATCTCGATGACGCATTCCCATACTGGTCTGGTTCATCACAATCTGTTGCACCTGAAATACAAAGCATATGCATTTACATCTTATTTATGCCTCATGAAATTTAGAAAAAAAAAGAAACGGACATTTAAAAAGAATTAAAAGTGAAGGATGGATGGATGTTGGATTTAACGGCATGTCAACTCCTATTTGGGTCAATTTATGCCGAAGCCTTATTAATTTATGAATTTAAGTTGGTTATTTTGTATAAAAAGATGAAAGGTTGTTGGGTTAAAAAAGTGAAGGACTGTAGTTTCAGTCAAACATATTTAAGTATATTCGTTATCAATAGAATGAATAAATTTACTTTATCTTGCATTCAAAATCAGTAGATATGTCAGAGAAACCTTGAGTGAACTGAAAATGTGGAAGAATGAAGTTGAAAAATAAACTTGGCATATATGAAATAATATAGGAGCTGTTAAAACAATTAAGATGATGAAAAATAAGTTTTAAGAATAAATGTAATCTGTTTATGCTGTTGATCTGCTATTGCATTTCAGAAATTTCACTTGGCTCTTTCACTGAGTTTTGCAATGACAAAAGCCAAAGTCAGTCAAATCTTTACTAATCAGAAATTTACTTTTTATAGAGTTAATTTTGGTCAATTGGATTGGAGTTTGATTTTTACTGATTTTGCAAAAGAGAGCCTAGAACAACTTTCTCAAAAATGTCAAGTCCATTTACGGTCATTTAGTCCCGTAGTTTACATTGTGATTATTAGCTGTAATAGAGTGTGACACAAAACCTTTTGTGGGTAAAGAAAACAAGTTCAACATTTATGTAAATATAGTGATAGTAAAAAAGAAAAATGATTATATGTAAAAGAAAAATTTGACATAGAATAAATAAAAATTACAGCAGTAAAATTTAAGGTGTCTTTGAAGCTTTAAACTTTACAGTTGTAGTGGAGCCTTAAATTAATAATAAGGAATTTCTTTCATCAATACTAACCCTTAAAAGTTCATCTTTGAACCTAAGTATTCTACTACATATGAACATTTCTACTGTTTAAAACTTGAGCAAAGCAAATGCTAATACCAATCTGTTTGAGAAAGGTACAGGTAATTAAATGACAAGCAATTAATTTTCCTTCTTTACAAGATTCCATTATGACAAGTTTTATTTTGTATCCACTTATTTACTTTGTTGGAAGACAAAGTTAAAAAAAAAAAATTAAATTACTAACATCACACCCATAAAATAAATAGACTGAGATTATATATGTATATATTTGTTATTTTGCTAAATTTTCTGCAGTCTTTTTTCTAAGAAACTCTGTTTTAGAATATTTGAATTCTTTAAAATTAAAAATTTAAATTGGAAAACTTATTTTGAAAAGCGAAGTCCTATACAATATTTTAATCATCAAATGAACAATTAAAAAAAAAAATTACTATTCATTCTCAAAAAAGCTCATTTTAAGAAGATTAAACTTAGGAGGAATACAAATACAAATCCACAATTTATGGAAATATTAAAATTATATACTTGGGAGAAAAATTAATTTTTAATCATACAATAAATTTCATGGCCAGTTGCTATAAAGCAAAAAAAAAAGAAAAAACACACACATTCAGGCTGAGAAGAATCTAAAATTTGTTTCCATTTTTTTCAGATATCTTTTAAGTGCGTCTTTTTAACAAAGAAAATTTATTTTAAAACCTATTTGAAAGAAAAAATAAATTAAAGAAACTGAAAATTTCTATTTTAATTTTTTTCTCTAATTCTTGAAAATTTGATTTATTATGATGCTTTAATAAATTTTGAAATTAGAAAAGAAATTATTTGAAAGAATTGAACCAATCAAAAAATTACAAACATTTAACGTGACTTTCAACTAAACAGATAAACAAACCAACAAATTTGATGACATTTGGTATTCTGATTGTGTACAACTGAAATTCCATTATGAATAGGTAACCAGCAATATTTTAGTCACAATTTATATGACAAGTCTTACATTTCTTTTGGTAGAACAGTCAAAGGAAAGGAAAGGAAAGAAGTAAAAAGAAGGTAGAAAAAGAAAGAGTTTTGACACTTCAGTTAGAATGTTTGATTATCCTTCATCTTTCTTCAAAAGTAACAACCTGTTATTTATCTTTGTTTTAGAGATTATATAAAACTACCTTTAAGTAATAATAACTCTTTACTAAATTATAATCTATAATTGTTACATCTTCATGGATAAAAAAAATCTAGTGAAAGAGAAATACCTTTTCAAATTCTTCAGCATCAACATTTCCATCACCATTAAGGTCAAACATTTGGAAGGCAATCTCAAAATTTCTCTGAGGAGCTGAAAAAGAAATAAAAACAAAAATTAGTGATACAGAGAAAAGTCTGTAGGGAAACCCTTTTTCAAACTTTTGAGTTTTTCTCAGTTTGTAAATGACACACCATAGTTGACTGATTGCACAACAAATAATATATTGAGTAAATTTGAAAGACACTTCTAAGATTTCCTTAACATTGTACTAAAGATGGCACTGGGGACATTTGCATCAACTAAATATGCCTCTTAAAAATAGGTACCCCCATTAATTCGCTGAAAAAAACAGCATAGCCTGATAAAAAATGGCTCCAACCTTAATAAAAACAAAGTTTTACTGTTTGTTTTAAAAATGCATTTCTGTGTTATTTTAAACTTAAAGTAAATAATATTGGTTTCAAATGAGAATTATACTTTAAATCAACTAATCAAATTGCAGAAAAGCATATTTTACTTTTGGAAGATTTTTTTTAATACAGAGAATTACATTGTGATGAAAGATGACTTTAAAAAAAAAAAAAAAATGCAATCAATACAATTTCTGTTTGAAAAACAGTATTTCAATTACTGGAAATAGTAAATTTAATCTTTTAGTTTTCAATTAAAGCTAAAATGAAAGCTTCAAAAAAGCTTTTTAATTTTTAAAAATTCATTTTATACCTTAGGTATCACCAAGAGGGGGGGTGGAAGAGATCTCTATTAGGACTAATTCTTTGACAACGAACGGAGATGCCCAACCATACTCGAAAGAATGCATTTGTGGAAAGTTGTGCAAAAACCAAGAGGCCTAAGAATCCACCAAGGCCGGATGAAATGCCTGGAGAGGGGGAGGCGTGAGCAACGTACAGGTACAAGCCTGGAACACACAGGCGTACTTACGCAGCTGATAAGAGATGCAAGAGAAAAGAAAAGCGATCTGACAGTTCTGTGGTTAGACCTCGCCAATGCGTATGGTTCCATGCCTCATAAGCTCGTGGAAGAAGCTCTAAAAAGGCATCACATTCCCTCTTCAATTAGTGGTCTAATTTCAGACTATTATAACAACTTTCAGTTTAGAGTATCGGCAAGTATAGTATCGGAATGGCACACCCTGGAGAAAGGCATCATCACGGGGTGTACACTGTCTGCAGTACTGTTCTCACTGGCTATGAATATGCTGGTCAAAGCATCTGAAGTAGAGTGTAGAGGCCCCCTCTCTAAATTAGGAATTCGCCAGCCTCCCATTAGAGCATACATGGACGATCTAACCGTAACACGCACATCCGTTACAGGAGGAAGATGGCTCTTGAAGGGCTTAGCAAAAAACATTACATGGGCCAGAATGACTTTTAAACCAGCTATGTCCCGACCACTAGTCATTAAAAAAGGAAAAATAACGGAGAAATATCGTTTTAAAATATCTGGTGTAACTATCCCAACCCTAAATGAAAAACCTGTTAAGAGCCTGGGTAAGTTTTTCGACGACAGTCTAAGAGACACTGTGGCTATTGAACAGACAATTAAAGACCTTACACAGTGGCTCAATAAGATTGATAAATCAGGCTTACCAGGTCGATTTAAAGCCTGGTTATTCCAGCACGCCGTTTTACCCAGAATATTATGGCCACTTTTGATGTACGAATTCCCAATGACCAGTGTAGAATCACTGGAGAAATTAATAACTAGGCGCCTGAGAAGATGGTTGGGAGTTCTGAAGTGTCTGTGCACAGCAGCACTCTACGGCGGGAGTAATGCTCTTCAGCTTCCTTTCAATAGTCTTGTTGAGGATTTTAAGGCACAAGAGTAAGAGAACAGCTGCAATATAAAGAATCAAAAGACCCAAAAGTGGTTGCAGCATGTATTCAATCTCGAACGGGGAGAAAATGGCGTGCAGAAAAGGAGTTGGAGATAGCAGAGGATAGACTACGGCATAAAGTAACTCTTGGCACTATCGCTAAAGGTAGAGCAGGTCTCGGTTATTTTCTTTGACCCCAAATAAGCAAAGCCAAAGGAAAAGAAAGATGCCAACTAATCCAAGAGGAGGTGTGAGCAGGGATTGAAGAAACGAGATGGTGGGACTTAGTTCACAGGGAGCATGGACCAAATGGCAGGGTGTCGAACAGAAAAAGATCAGCTGGTCAGACTACTGGCGGTCAAACTTTGGTGAAATAAGTTTCCTAATAAAATCGGTATACGATGTGCTACCCAGCCCATCCAATTTATATTTATGGGGCAAAAGGGATACCCCAAATTGCCAATTATGCGGGAAACGCACTTCACTGCAACATATCCTAAGTAGCTGCGCTAAAGCCTTGAGTGACGGTAGATACCATTGGCGCCACGACCAAGTCCTAAAGGCAATAGCACATGAAGTCAGTGAAGCAGTGAGAACTTCTAAATACAAACCGAATAAGAAGTTCATATTAATTCCCTTCCTTAAAGAGGGAACAAAGAAAAAACAAACGATCCCCAAAACAAACTTGTTATCGTCAGACGCAACTAAAGTTCCCCAGACATATAGCGGAAACACCACTCAGACCAGACTTGATTATCTATTCCAACTCCACAAACACTGTATAAAATGGGAACTCACAGTCCCCTGGGAAGAACATCTGACATTAGCAAACGAAAGGAAGCGATCAAAATATCAAGACTTGATTGAAAAGTGTCAACAAAATTTCTGGAAGGTCACATATGACTCTGTGGAAGTAGGATGCCATGGCTTTGCAGGCCAGTCATTATGCAAAGCTTTTAGGAAAATAGGGATTGTGGGATCAGCTAAAGCCAAAGCCGTTAAGAAAATTTCAAATGAAGCTCTGACGGCTTCTAAATGGATATGGCTTAAAGCATCCGAGCAGTGGGGGAATAATTCAATGGAAAGCAATCCCTAAAAAGCTAGATACAAAATCACCCCTCAGTATTGATAAAAAAAATTTATCTGGATTTACATTGCTTGCGAATAAATAGGTTCTTCGTAGGTTTTATTAGTTAAACTTAATCCACAAATTCTCGATAATTTTTCATGAAACATAAAATATTGTAACTTAACATCTGATATTGTTCAGATACTGGAAATTATCATAGTTTAGAATTTATCCCTTTCATACGATAATGTTATTATATTTTAATGTAACAAATTAAAATCAATCCACACAATTTAACATTAATAGAATCCATTTATACCATACGCTACAATATCGTCGACTTATTTTAAACGTTATAATTTAGAATTATTTTGTTTCTTTCTTTGTTTTGATAATATATTTTAACCATAATAATATAAAATTCTAGCCCCCAGACAATATCGTCAATTTATTTTAAATTAATAATATAAAACTCACCCATTTTCATACGATAGTAGTATTATATAAATTGTTAATTTATTTCAAATCAATATTTCATCCGCTCCTATATGGTTCAATTTAATATCCCATCTGTCCCTCCCGGTACCGTTGATTTATTTTAACTGTAAATATGTAAAATCAATTCATTCCATACGATAATAAAAACTTTAACAAGTTAAAACCTAACCACCTCAAACATATTATTAATGTTTTTTTTTTGGTTTTGATTGAGTAATATAATTTATTTTTGGAGGAAAAGATTACATTTTTAATTGGTGCGAAGCAAGCAATTTATATAATTCAGTTTGGAAGGAGGAAGGGGGAAAAGGGACCCCCCCCCAATTTAGTGAACAGCTAAATGTATCGTTAAAATATTTTAATTGGACAGAGCAAGCAATTTTGGATGCCTCCGTTGGTTTTTTTTTCTTTTTTTTCTTAAGAGCTGAAAGTATAAATTCTGTCATGAGCACTAGCACAATTCTTTACACGGTGGCGACCTGTAGAATAAGATAACAGGTTGGGGGTGGCTGTTGGAGCTGATATGATGAATAAGAACCCCGAAATCAGTGATGAAGACGGCTTTTATCACTGATGACCACCTTCAAACATTCGAATGTATTTTGCGATATCACAAATTATATTGTAAAAGACTATGGTCAATAATCGTACTGACTTTTATTTTCATTTTAGAAATTAAATATTTTTTAAATAATTAAGACAAGAAAAATGCATAATAAAAGTAAGAATTTATGACAAATGAAACATTACATACATATGTGTGGTGAATGCTTGTTACTCACTCGACAAAACAGTCAGCAGTAGGATGTAATCCGAGAAGGAAATAAGACCACTTTGACCAAGTTTATAAAAAATGCTATCTTCTCCCAGTTCCAGTTCTGGATATTCATCATGCTGAAACAAAAGATGAAACAGAATAGAAAATACAAAAACAATCAACATTCCAAGAAATAATGTATGCAAACATAAAAATTAGATTAATTCTTTTAAAATCACAAAGAAAAATATCTAAAAATAGTTTTTCTCCAGATTAACACTAAAAATTTGTTGAATGAAAGAAAAATTGATACTCGATATTTATTTATTCAGTTTGGCAATCATGTAAAAAGCAATTATCAAAAAACTGGAAAATGATTACCAAATACTGGAGTTGAAAGCTTATGAGAAATTACTTTACCATGGTCTAGAAAAAGTAAACAATGAGAGATTTGATAATGATTATTACATTAAAATAAAATAAAATCAATCATAATTTAAAGAGGACAATGTTTTAAATAATATTTAAATGAACACAAAAAAAAAATTAATGATTAAAAATTATTTTAAAAAAATACAACAAAATATAAAACAAAATAAAAAAAATAAAACAAAACAAAGAAATGATTAATTTATAACAGCCAGTTGTACCGATTGTGATTGTGTTCAGCACCCAGTGAAGTCTGAAAATAAGATTCTGTAAGGTGATAAGCTTTTTCTAACAGTACGAAAGGTTGTAAGGAAATATGAAAACAGTTGGTTGTCTATACTTTAGAATGAACCTATCAGCTTTAGTTAAATGGTACATTTTAATATCAACTTTCATAGTGTGCCAAATAAATAATTTGGCAGTTCAGTTAAGGAATTACATGCTGAATATTTTTGACTAACAGAGCTGCAATGAGATCAGGTTTTAATAGTCAAATTTTACTACACTAACCAACTGTTCAAAGTAGATTGCAATTATATGAATTTGCATGTCAAAGTTTTCTCTTTAAATTAAGTTGCAATATTTCTATGCAAACAATTAGTATCAGAAATTGAACCTGGTGACAACTAGTTAAGCATTTTACAAACTAAGCAATGCCCTAATATCAGAATCAAAACAGAATGAAATGGTTATTTGTTAATAATTAGTTCATTCATAAATAAGCAAAAACAATGAATGATTAAGAATTAAAAGACCGTGCTTAAACTATAACATGCTCAATAAATTCAATACATGTCAAAAACCAAAGCAGGATAACTGCTTTTTAAATTGCTAATAGTAATGAAAGAAAAAGTTATCCTCCTTAAGTATCTCTAAATTTTACAGGTATATGGATAGTGTTTGATCAAAGTTTACTTAGTTATTTTTAGAATTGAATAGAGAGTTTATAATATAAATTCTTACTAATATTATTAAGTAAAATCAGGGTGATTATGTGAGAGCATCAATATCATGTTGACAAAAATCTATATTAAAGTTAGTCCTCAGAAACTAGGATCTTAACTATTCTTAAGAACTATTTGACCCCTACAAGAAATCAATATTATAAATAAATATTTGTATTATCTTCTATTAGCAATGTCTTTTTGTAAATGTTCAATTTTTATTAATATTTTGCCTTTAAATATTAATTCCCCCACTTCCCACTTCATTTTGAAGATGTAAATGTTGCATTCAAATTCAGAAGCAGGTTTTTGTATTAATTTCCATATTGTATATAGTCAGATTTTTCACTTCTAAGTTTTATAATATTCATAATTTCTTTTATATATATATATATATATATATATATATATATATATAATAATCACTGACATGCCAGAAACCAGTTATTAAAAGAAATATTCCACTGATTAATCAAAGTTTTGGGGAGGCATTTCTAACAAAAATCCTGCTAAGACAACTTTGCCATGTAAAGAAGCCAGTATTGTACACTTAGATTGAACAAGTGTGTCCATGTGTAATGCATATGCATTTCTTTGTTAGATGGTGCTGTGTTAAAAAAAAAAAGTTGAACTTTTTGACTAAAACAAGTAATTGTGTTGAAAAATAGATTAATACAAAAGAAAATAAATAGTAAGGCAGACGATGAAACGAAAATAAAAAGACAGAAAAACTCATTAATTTCATTTAGTTGCTGATATCAAGAAAAAGAATTCAAATTAATCAAATAATTATTAAGTTTAAAAAGAAAAGAAAAAAAAGAACTAAAATAGAAATTCAAACAGTTTAAAATGGAAAAGAAATATCAAAAGTTATAGTTATTTCTGAGATTTATTTTTGATTAATGTTTTCCCCCTATGATAATTGAAATACTGTTTTGTGGCTTGGCTGGCTGGGTAACTGGAAACCATTACTTCAGAGTGAATCCTGTGGGTATAAAATTATGATATCCAATGGTCAAAGAAATACATGCAAACTGTAAAATGAAAAATCTCAAACCATGGGGTGAGAACTTATTCTTACCTTCATCTTTATTTTCTGGCTCATCAGCATTTACATGGGCCATGTAATACTAAACATTCTTTTTTGCATATGCACTTTATGTCACCTCTTAAGAAACTCACATAAGATAGAAGCATATACCCTAGAAGACTTAGGGTTAACCTGGATTGATCCTTTTTATTGTACTATACACATTTACAGATCATCAAACTGATATTTTTGTGCAAATGTCATAAGAAACATGACTCCATCTATTCTTGAATTATTGCCAGTCATCATGAGTTAATTGGGCAAAGGAGAGTGATACATTATCAATGAAACATGCAGTATTATGAGATTCATGCCAGGAAATATGAAAGGATCTGAATTTAATGTCAATAAGGAACCTTTGTTCTAAGAGAAGTTTATCTAAATGATTCCAATATATATTGGGCTTACCCCCAAAAGATACCAATGTAGATTTTGCACTAAATATCACACCAGAGCATCAGAGAAGTCAAGTACATCAGAAGAGTGATCTTATAGCCACTAGATACAAATTCACACTTCACAGGATGTCAGTGGCTGCCCTCAACATGTAAACAGGTGGTCAACTTGACCACTTAGAATATACACACATGGGACAACTGAACAACAAGATATTCAAATGCCCTAACAAAGAGGGGAAAAAAACTGTTTTTAATATCTTCATAAGAAAAATCCACATTTGCAGAAAGCTCACAAAGCCACACACCTTGATGTTGATTCTAATTACGAAGTTTGAAGGTGAATAAACAATAATTTACATATGAGAGATTTATTCTTGTGCTCTTTATAATGAAAAGATTACAATAATTAAATATGCAGAAAAGCCTTAATTTCCCAGAATTAAAACTTATTCCATTCTCAGTAAATAAATGGCTGTTAACCATATTTATCAGACTCAACATATCTGTGTCTCTAATGTGAGAAGATTTCAAATAAACTATATGATTGAAGAATAAGTTCTTAGGAGGTTGAATTATCTTAAGAGAAAATGTATAATATAGTAATTGCCAACTGTTCATGTTTTACAGTTTAAGTATTGCCAAACCCTTTTGGCACATTTTTCTTTATTTGAATACCAACACATGAATCCAAGATAGTTAACCCAATCATTCATTGGAAGGGTGTTTTAATTATATGGTCAACATAATCTCATCCATCAATTTCCTAAAGAGAACTGACAACGTTGTTTAAAATGAGTCACCAGATATTAATGCAAATGTATATTGCTATGCAAGTAACTTTGAGCAGTTCTCTGAATGATTACTAACAAATTTTAATTAAGTAAATGCTGATATAGTTAGTGAAAGAACTTAGGTCATGATACTCACTGATCTTATTTCAATAAGTACAGAAAATATTGAAGGGCTCACTGTTGCATTTGAGAAGAATTTTATAACCAGTACAGAGTTTTTTTTTTTCATTTTTTACTGGTCAAATCAACTTTCTAGCTCATACAAGGCCCAAGACTCACTCAAGGTTGTGAGTTACTAAATGAACTTGTTGTATGGACATAAGAGGAACATTTTTTTAAAAAAATCATTTCAGCCAAAGAAGTCGATAATGCCACTAAGCTGCAAAGAGTTACTGAAAGTGAAAGAAACCGAGAAGACTTTAGTCAGGAGAAAGGACAATAAAAGAACAGCAATAATCAGGAAGACAGAAGATAGTAATGTTGCATTTTAATTTTTGAAGACCATGGGTGATAGAGAAACAAGAAACCAGAAGAGAGTTCCACAGGTGAGAAGTATAAGAAAAGAAACTATTAGAATAGAACTGAGCAATTTCAATATTCAAAACGATGAGACCTTGTTGCCAATCTAGTAGTATGCTTAAATTTATGCAGTCAAGGTAGCAAGAAGGAGAGCTCATTAGAATAATTGCCATGAAAATATTTATAGAGAAGGTAGGGGGAAGCCATGTCACAGCAATAGGAAATGACTGAAGCAGAGATGTCAGGTCAGGATAAATAACATTACAGACCCTTCTTTGGATTTTGTCAAGAATTTTAAGATATATAGCAGGAGCACCTGACCAGATATGGCAGCAATATTCAATGCACAGATGAATGGTAGATTTATAAATGTGCAAGATGGAACCTGATGAGAAAAATTGTCTACCATGACATAGTTGAACTTTCCTAACAACAGACCTAGCAATTGATTCAACAATCTTTCTACTTCATGTCAGTGGAAAATGTGAGATCAAGAAGGTACAATAAGCTGCTCTCCTGGAGATTAGCTTCAAAATGGTTCTCTATGATGATTACAATATCAGTTTAGTTTTGAAAGCGTTAAAATTTACAAGCCATTTCTTGCTCCAGTTAAAGGGTAGCTGCCAATTTTACTTTATCAGACAGATTGTTGATGAAGATAAACAACATAGGTCCAAGGATAGAGCCCTGGTGGACACCCACATTAATGTGAAAGGATCGAGAAGTGTACTGGTTCAACACTACTTTCATTACATGATTTGTTAAGAATGATTGGATTAAATTAAATATTTGGCCAGAGACAACATAGGCCTTGAGTTTGTGAAGAAGGCTAGCATGCCAAACCTTGTCAAATACCTTTGAGATATATAAAGCCACAGCCTGAGCCTTATTGTTCTTATCTAAAGTTTGATAGAGAGATTCAGTAATAATCATGAACACATTGGCGGCTGACCTAGAAAAACAAAG